TGTACCTTAGTTCAACTCACACCTTTGCTCCTCCCTCACCGTTTACAAGAAATGGTAGCATTTCTTTAAATCAGCAGACACAGCTGCACAAACATGATAATTTAATTAAAAATATGCATCTAATTTTCTCCCTTGTTAGCAGTTTTGTTTAACAGTTTTTCTTTGAAATGAATGTACCTTATACCAGGGGCGACACCAGGAATCGAGGACCCCATTAAAAAATTATTACAATGGGCCACCACCACCACAGCCTATAACGAACCCCTGCACAATTACTATAATCACACATCCATTATGAAAAATAACATTAAAACTTAAATAACTATAACTTGTGTATACACTCTGATCTCTGGGGTTTGGGATGTGCTTTGAAGAAATGTCATGAGTTTGCAAGTTTTTAAACATTTAAAATACTTTATGGGGTATAGTGACTTTATTAAATTTCCTCAAATACACCATCATGTAAACAGTTCAAAGTTAGAGACTCAAAAAGTGTTTGAGAATAACATCCTAAAAGTTATAATAAATGCCTACAGAGGAGAGAGGGCGCTTAAAATAACTTCAAGGTTATATAGATGGTACGATACTGCCTATAAACAACAATGGATGGGAAAAGGACATTAACAGTAATATCTCTGAGGAGGCTTCAGAAAGATCCTGTAAATTTGAAGGGAAGATAACAAGCTTGACTTCATGGAGAGCATTTGGATGCAACAATCTTATCAGATACTTTATTACACCTGAAATCTTATCAATAAGGCTCTAACAGCTGCAGGAACTGGAACACCTGCTCTGGGTCTGTCAAGTATGCTATCCCCCCCACCACCACCACCTCACACACACAGATTATGTGGTAGGCTATATGTTCATACTCTATATGTAGCCGGTCTGTCCTGACACTCAGTGTCCTACGAATATGTCTCTGCGTTGTGTTGTGTACGATGAAACGAAGACCAAAAACTTCCTTGCCAACTGGAGCAGATTTATTTTCATGTCATCTGTGTAAAATAAAATACATTCAGTACAGCAACTTCATACGACTGGGCTTCAACATGCCCACCTTTCCTCAGCGGGGTCTCAGGCCGTCTGACACAATGCATACGGGTGTGCTGTGACATTCTTTTATAAACGACAACAAAAACTAAATAAAAAATACAAATTGTATTTCAGCTTATTTCTTACTCAACAGTAGCAATTTTGTGTTTTTGTCAAAACCGAAAATGTACTTAAACAGCTAAACTAATCTTCTTATACTGTACACTTCACGTTATATTAAAATAACAAAATAATTTGTGATCAAATATATATACATATATATCTGTAAAAGAACAAAGAGAGGTCTCACATACCTGTGTAAAATAAAATACATTCAGTACAGCAACTTCATACGACTGGGCTTCAACATGCCCACCTTTAAAGGGGAGAAGAAAATACTGCGGACCACATGAGAAACCACACGGATGCTCTAGCTTAAAGTTCGCCTAATTAGCATATACAAACTAAGTGCTGTACGACAAATAAAACTCTTCAAATACATTAACCAACAGTTAACATGTTATTAAAACCTCTGTGAGCCTAACGAAGTTTAGTTGAACCACTATTTAGCATGTTTTTCCCGTGTTTTAACACTTTATGAACTGGGGCACATGAAAACACTCACCTCTCCTCAGCGGGGTCTCAGGCCGTCTGAGGAGAGAAGAGCGAATCTACAGGATGTGACATCATCACAAGTGCATATAAAAATATTCATATTTGAAAAAGATGACAAAATGTAAATTTGCCCTAAAGGACAGACTTTTGGTGAGATATAAATAATTTTGATTTAGCATTTTAACACACCTGTTACATATACAAAAACTGTCCTCAGAGGAAAACTTGGTCCCTGAAACAATGTTTGAAGATGAAATGCTACGCAAGACGTTATGTTGGGGGTCCCGCAACAGTGAAACTGTAACTCTCCTGGTAGCTTTTTAGCTCCAAACAGTTTTCCAGGGACCCATTTTTTTCTTTGAGTAATGTTTGTGTATTCAGTTTAGAAAATATAGCATAGAAGTGTTTCACCTATTCAAATTTCACGATACCAAATCTCCACAACTCCACAACAATCTCCCTCAAAAGAAACGCCCCTCACTTACATGCAACAGCACCATTGATCCAGAAGCGGACCTCAGCTCATGCTTTGCGTGTGGGCTTGTGCATGCATGGGGTAGAGAGCGAGCAGGGAGACAAGGAGGCTGTGATTGGTTCATCAGATTGGTACCTCGTGGCAGACATTGTTCAAAGTTTTTACAGGCTTACAACTTCTACAGATGACAGATTTTTTTTGTTCCTTTTTCACAGCACATGAATTATTCATTTCTGTCAGGACGTAAAGACAATTTTAACCAAAATCTTAAAAAGTGTATCTGGAAAAAGGGGACATTCAATGAACTGCAATTTTTTTTTTTTTTTTGCATTATTCAACACCAGAGCTTGCTGCTAGATGTCTGTGTGTGTCTGTGTGTCCCAATCACCCTGAATTCAGTCTATACAGGGATATAAAATATGTCAAATACTTTCCTGTAATTAAGTATTTGTGAATTCATTCTTATTCATAAAGTCATTATATCCCCCCACGGCAGTGCCTCCCGCCAGAATAGACTGTGCACGCCCCTGCGGTATACTTTCCCGTCGCAGTTAACTTTCACTTTCCATGAGATGAGCTCCTGCCTCTTGGTGTGACGCAGCTTATTTGTTCTATACAAAGAGAGGTTTGTATTCGACATTTTTAACAGTATGACTATTTTAAACTCTCCTAGCCTACAGTTCAGATACAATCAACAGTCGGACTTCAGACCTTTTCTAATGTCTATGCTCACAGTTTTGCTCTTGTTTACGGCCGGGTAAGAGTCGGTGTCAGGCGGCTGAGAACGAGTGAAAGAAGAGAAATAAACGAGTCCGTGTTCGCGCTGATGTCATTATTTGTCTTCGCTGTGGTTTAAGACGATCACGGGCAGTGTTTGGATCAGGGACATGTTGAATTCAGACAGGTATGAGTCATTTCCACAGCTGTGTGAGGCACAGCATGTTGTGTTATGGTGTAACAGAGTAGCCTGCCTATACCTATCTATATTGTAACATTGTAACATTGTAACCTATAATAATGACACATCGGGTCTTATTTTCAGAAGGCTACTGTCATAAATCCACTCGCGCTGGTTTTTATAGGCTATTGAAATTATACGGAGATGAAGTGCAGGGGGAACTCCGTAGATAGCTGTAAACATGAGCATTATGTTGCATTCGGGTGCTCCTCGGATGGTCCCAGTTTCCGAGTTTGGAAGTCGTCCTTCCGACTTCAGTGTGTTCTCGTGATTTCAGTTCAGAAAGTCGGAATATTGCAACAGCAACAAACATCGTGGATGCGACGAACGAAATGTGTTGAATGTCTCTGGTACAAGTTATATCAGCAAATAGCCTGCAGCCTAGTTGATGTGCAATGCGTGAACTAATAAAAATATATGTTGCCCCCCCATGTGATGACGATTATGTCGGCAAGTCGGACGCCTGACTTTTTTTTCGAGTTTCCGAGTTGTTGTTCCGACTTGAGCAGGCGTTCAAATGCATTTTACAACTTGGAATCTAATTTTTTCCGATGTTTTCCGACAGCACATGAATGCACCATTATGTTTACTTAGGTGCCATCTTGGAGCGGGGTAGCAGTGGCTCTGAAAGAAAATGTGGCTGCAGGAAGTCTGTAGGCCTACATACATAAAATATTCATAACTCGCGGATTGTTTTGTCACAAACGTCAGACATGAAGGCTGGTTATGATCCAGGATTTTAATATTTACAGTCTAGGTTATGTGCAGGAAACTTGGTAACATAAAAAGGCAGTTTTTCATATGAAAATTCTTGATAAGTAGCCTAGGCCTATTATTAATGTAATTCCCTTTACAGTGAATCACACCTCACAAGATGATACTTCTCATATAAAGGTTATGATATTAGGCTATTTTAAATGTTTAATTTATTACAAATAGTTCAGATATTTTAAATAATAAGTTTGAGGAGTGATACAGCTGGGTCAAGGCCAAACGTTTGTTGATTTGGGGGAAAATTAAGATTGTTGGTAAAGTTTTATGGATGAAGTAAAATATTTTTACGTTAACTTAAATAATGATAATAATGGAATCAAACCAAAAGTTGATTGAGGAAAAAGTAATCATGCTTAATTTGTGTGATGTGTTTTTTTAATTCTTTGGTAATGTTTTACTTATTTACAAAAACTTTGATATTTAAGTCCTTAATTGGTAGCTTGCAGTGTTTCACACATGCACAAAACTCCTGAAAAACGGGGGTTTTCGGGTTGAGCTGCACGTGTGAACGAAAACAGACTTTTTTTTTTTTCACCCAGACTGTATCCGGAGTTTCTCCTGCCAGCCCCCTTGTATTTTTTCTGCATGAGCGAGCTGATGTGAGAACGCAGCGGGATAACGTGTAGTCGTATAGCAGACTCTGTTGCTTCTTCTGTCTCTTCCGCATCATTCTTTTTACGTCATGTCTTTCATCACGAGACCCCTTTGCCCATCAAACTGCTATTTAAGGTTTTCAAAATGTTTAATACTCCGATACTTTCTCAATACCACGTGTTTTGAACAAATATGATCTCCGTTATTTGAATGATTCTTTGTTTTGAAGAATACTGCAACAGGTGCAATGAAAGGAAATTGATTAATGAAACATTGTAAGCAAACTCCCGGACTCTGTCTTAGTTGTACAAATAGGTTGACAACAGTACGGAGCATTTTATTTTACAATTTAGACAGAGTGCAGGAGTTTGTCTGCATTTTTTTCATCATGTCCACATAGAATCTATGTCATAGATAGATATGTCTAGGTTTTGGAACAGTCCTACTTCAGTCAGGTTAGTGTGTTGGTGATGTCACTGAGGTTATCATGTTATGTGTAAGCTTTCTCCCCGCAGGTGTTCATGTTTGTGTGAAGGTGAGGGCTCAGTGATGGAGCCCTGTGAGGACAGAGGAGAGGACGTCACCCCCTCTAAAGGCGCTCTGTGTGAGGAAGGTCAAGCTCAAAGGTGAGATGAAGCCCAGGCCAGTATTCAGACATTATCCTTCCATGTAATTTTTTATAAAGTGAGTATTTTTCTAAAAACATGATCTTTAATAATTGTCAGGGTCCATCAAACTGCACACTGTGCTGAACATGAACCCAGATGTGAGTCCAGGAAGAGTGTCTGGTCTATGGATCGTCCCGTTTTCTTTAAAAATGATGAAAGGTGAGAGACTTCAAAAAGTCTTTTTTTTTCATAAATATTTGTTTGTAGTGCAAACTTAACAGTTTCAGCTGCAAAAACATTTCACTGACGCATACAAACATTTCACAAAATGCAAAAACATTTAATCAAACAATTTTCATCAAAGAGTCATAAAATCATTTTGTGAAACATGAAACTATTACACGACATGAAAAACGTTTCATGAGACACAAACAAACCTTTTTGTGCAAATGTCATGAAATGTTTTTGCCTTTCCTTCATAGTTTTTTTTTTTTTTTTAAAGATTTACTGAACTCTCCAGATCATGATAATTCACCAAAACTGGGTTCAAATCTATGAAAGATTTAATCCAAGCACATTACATCCATAAAGACCTACGTAAGCAATCCGCTAGTCTGCTGACCTTTTGATGACCGCTCATAACACTTTATAACAACCAATGGGAACCTGAGTTGAAAGGAGGTGCCTCCCCCTGTTCTGACGGCCAATTACATGTGCCTGCGCTAATGACTGACATTTCTTGTAGCCACTGAAATTCTCTAAACATGGCCCTGCTGCTTCTATCAATACTTTGGGGTGTTTTCTTCATGCACACACTAAGGAGATTGATTTAAAGGATGAGAGGTATTCAGAACTGCATTACAAGTATTAAAAGGGTGAGATTCATATCAATATCAACAGACAGATCTATGTACAATTAGACATTAAACACCCCCATACAGCCGGAATGGAATGATCCTGGTGTTCGATTGAGGCTGTCACCTACAAATCGTCGAAGATTTGACTACATGGTCGTCAGCCCTAAATGGCACATCTATATCTAGCACACAAAGTTGAATTAAAGGGATTGTTCAGGTTTTTTGCAGCAACATTTATTTTTCTCAGGAAGTATTTTCCTAAATATGTGATTTTAAATAATTGTCAGGAACCATCGGACTGCACACTGTCCTGAACATGAACCCAGATGTGAGTCCTTAAAGAGCACCTGGTCCATGGATCGTCCTGTTTTCTTCAGAAATGGAGAAAATGCTGAACACAGGTGAGAAATTCAAAGAATGAATGTTACCATTTTTTAAATTGTTATGAATCAGACGCTCACGTTCACACAGTTTGCTGACCAGAACAACCAGTCTGTTGAGCAATATCTGCATTTTACTTATCATGTTACTTCAGCATCTTTTGCACTATGCACCACTGCACTGTTTCATATTTAGTCATGTAAATATTAGTCTTTTCTTATTAAGTTTATTGTTAATATTTAATGTTGTGCCTGTACATAACAGAGCACAGTTCACATAAGTTAAATTCCTTGTGTGTGTAAGCATACCTGGCCAATAAATCTGATTCTGATTCTGATTCAATATGTAAAATGCTACATTTATTTTAAAGTTCAGTGCTTCTTAACAAAGATGTGTGCTAAGTAAGTAATCAGTAAGACTAAATGTGGGGTTATTTATCTGAGAAAGACAATTAAATGAATATGTTACCATCTATCTAGTCGGTTATTTCTCCTTTCATATTTTTTATCTTTTTTAACTTTGTACGACTAATTGGAGCTCACTTTTGTATTCTATCTTTCTTCAGAGATCAATCAAAAATACATTCTTAATGCCCAGAGGGAAATTCAAGGCGCTTAACAAAGTGATAGGAAGCAAAACCTGAATGAAGCGGTTCATAACAGGCCGGCTCATAGTACGTTTGTACTGATCCAGATCTCTGAGGACAGAGTCACTCCGAACTTTAAAGTTAAAATCAGTTACTGATATAGACGGTTTATCTTTAGACCCTAATAAATAGGGTATAACCTTAAGACCCAAAGCTTTCCATGACTTGTGAAGCTGACAAATTTGTCACAGTCTGACCACAGGAGGCAGCGGCAAAGACAAACAACAATCTAATCTGTCAAGTGGTCAAAGAAAAGTTTGGTCAGTCACATCAATAGTTTAATTGCCCTTACCTGGAGCGCCGATAGCCAAGCGGTTATGTTGCGCCCCATGTACAGAGGCTGTAGTCCTCGTCCCAGTGCCTGAGGGTTCAAATCCGATCTTGGCCCTCTGCGTCGTCCCCTACTCTCTTCAGCCTATATCCAATAATTGCAAAAAGCCCAAAAAGTAACTTTAAGAAAAAATTCCCCCTTGGCCCACCTGAAAAAAAAAAAGTAAGGGTTAGTTTTCTGACATCCTTAATTCCACAGCAAGACTTCTTCAATACTCTAACGTCAGATTCTCTGAGAGCCGCTCCAGCTTCTACACTACATGGCGAATATACCTTTAAAGAGAAATATGTTTCATCGATATACTTCATCCATCCAGAAAATAACTCAGAACCCCAAAGATGAATATATATTGTGCACAGTGAGTGTATTTTAGTGAAGGACTGATTTAGTCTCCGTGTTCTGTTTCTCACAGGACGAAATGCAAAGAAGCGGAACTCAATGATGCAAGGAGTGAATGGTCTATGGATCGTCCTGTATTCTTCAAATGTAAATGTGACTGCAATGATCAAAGGTGAGGACTTCAAACTGATGATAAAAAATAGAAATATGTGTTTTTTAGAATGAATTGCGAGATCTCCAGCTTTAAATCCTTTCCTGACTAAACCCCCTCACACATGCACAAAACTCCTGAAAATCTCCTGATATTTCCAGGAGCCCCCTAGTATTTTTTACACATGAAGTCCAAGTGGGCTGATGTGAGAATGCAGCAAGATATTATCTGCAGAATTCACCTCACGCCTGTGGGAGAGGGTGATGATGTTAATGTCCTGGGAACCTTGGATGGTGCATGGACTGTATGCATGCAATCACTAAAATCTCTGTGTATGTGATTAAACTGCTTCATTATGTTTTCTGTTCTCCAGTATGTTCTTCTCAGCTCTTACGTTGATATTGTGATTAATTTGAACTATACATGGCATTGATACAAGGACAGATATTCCCATTAGAGTGATTGTACAGCAGACTCTGTTGCTTCGTCCTCTACCTTTGCGTTGTTCTAGTTAAGTCATGTCTTCCTCCTGTGCCATTTGGTAAAGAAGGCAGCTGTGCTGTGCAGCTCCATCCTGACTATGTGCTGTGTAGGAGAGTTGAAGGCAGGGAAGTAGCCAAACCAGGCTGTGTTGCAAGATACTTTCATCTGGGCTGCTTGGACAGCTATTGAAATAATACGCCCTTGAAATACAGAGTGAGTCCACAACAGCTCCATAACAAAGCTCTGCCAGTACACCACCTTTGAACTTTTTAGCTTTTAGGCTACATCTCTTATCTGCAATGACCAGTTATCTTCCCTGGTTGTCTCTAGCAACCATCAGGATCTTCACTTGGATATATTCCCATTGCAGTATGCCCTCTGATTAAGGTAGCAGCTTATAGTGATTTGAGGTGAAGGCTTCTTCCTTATTCTTTTTTGCAGTGAATCTTGTGTTTTGTACTTTCTCTCTTCTGGAAAAAGGTGCGTCATTCTGCCCTAAAGGGTTTTCAGGCTGCTTGGGTCCTGGAATTCTTTCAGCAGACTCTCATCTGAAGTTCTGTTCGTTGTCTTGGGTTGTTCCAGACTAAAGATGGAGGTTGGGATGTTTCCCCTTGAGGCTGTGCTTTGATTTTTTTTCTGAGAATCCTTCTCTCTCTGAAGTCGTATCAATCTGTCTTTGAGTTTTGTCACTTTTATTCTTGGCATAACTGGTGATGGCAGACTGTACCTTAACCATGTATCTCAGGGAGACAACTAAACCTCTAATGCATGCTGAGGTCAGCGGGTGTAACAGGTCACTTCTGATGACAGGCTGAATGATTGAATATTTCTTTCTATATGCAGACACTAATGTTTACATCAGAGAATATTTGCTAATGACCAAACCAGGAATTTAAATGGATCTGAGTTCATTCAGCTGTCTTTACTGTCAGATACAATTAGCGATGTCTAGCCACAGGCATTAAGATTCTAGAAATGTCAGAAAGATTACTGAGCATTATTGTAATGCTGATGTTGCTCTGTGTTTTAACTCGACTTCCACATTATGTGCCCGTCCTCTGTGAGCTTGACTGCTCTGCTGGCCACCAGCACCATAGCAGCTGTTGAAGAAATTACTAAGACTCAGTTGACTCAGATGGTTTACGTTGATGAAAGTTTATTCATCAGATGAATACTCCGGAGGAGACATGATTCAACATCACACTTCTGTACTCGTGTCTTGCTCAATCACATCTGCCGAACTTCTCAAAAGGCATCGCATATATACAAAAAGACATTATCATTATCAGGGTCATGTCACATTGACCCACCTAGACTAAACTGTGACATTTATAACACTGGAGCAGACAATAAGTCTACCAAACATCCTTGCAGATATCAGGAAGAACAGTTGACACTCTCCAAGCTGTACTTGGTGTTCTAATAACAACTGAACTCTGTCAGGTCTGACTGACATTAGAGAACAGTGAATAACCCTAGTGACATCTGTACATTATAATCTAAATAACTACAGAAATTCCACCACAGCAGCACCAGGGATTTTGAACATTTCAAAAAAACAGAGACTCCAAAAAGTACTTTGAGTTTTCTGTTGTGTCTTTCATCACTAGAAGTACACTGATTTACACAAGTCGCTTGCCATCAATCGGAGAGGGGTTTCCTCCACCGGGAGTCTCCTTTTCTTCCGCGCCTGGGGTGTCGCAGGCGGCTTTGGGCACCTGCGACCCCTTAAGTACAGAGTTTTTAAAAAGACACTTTTTAATACTAAAACTCATGTTTAATAAAATAACTCCAATCCCAAGAGATCCAAAAAGTTGTCACAGTTAGTGTATATGTGACTGAATGATTGTGTTTCTGTGTGTTGTGAATGCAGTGCACAATGTGTTTTGTGTTTCTCTCAGGAGGAAGCCCGGAGAACCTAAACCCAAGTATGCTAAAAGTGACTGGTCTATGGATCGTCCTGTATTCTTCAAAGGGGAACTCGACTTCGGTTATCAAAGGTGAGGATTTAAATCTGATACTGAAAATGGGATTCTAAATCTCCAGCTTTGAAACCTTCACTGACTGATGAAGTTCACTAAGCACATATAGAGGTGTTAGCCAACTGCCACCACGACCAGGCCCTGGAAGAAGAAAAACAATGTCTGGACAGATGGATGGAGTATCTTAAACACTGAAGCAGACACCTCCATCTTTCACTCTAGTCTATTTTTCAGATCCTGATGCTTAAGTTTTACATTTCTTGGACTATGGCTGAGTCAGGCATCAAAGGTTCAATCCAAATCTCTATGACGGACATCATGTTACAGTTCTTAATTTTTTCCTGGAAGGACGTCCTGCATCTGTGTTCATCTAGATCAGTTTCCATTGACTAGACATGAACTGAAAAAATACTTTCCTTCTAGAATTTCAAATTTCCTGATCCTAACTATTAGCCAGGCCAAGAACTCAGAGTTCTCTTTGCTTCTCTGTTTTCTAGTTAGGGCAACAGGTAATCCTGACCTTGACTACTTCCTGTTGTTGGTATATCAAGTTGAAAAAGTGTTGTCCACCAAGTTGTTCTGGCTGTCCTCACCAACAATCCTGAGGAACCTACAAGAGCTCAGGAGCTCCCAGAAAAATATGTGATATTTCATATATTCATATGCATGTATCCCTCATGAAAATGAACCTTGTGTTTCTTTTGTTGAACAAACACAATGGTAGCTGATTCTGCTTGATTCCTCCTCAGAGTCGACAAGGAGAGCTTTGATGTTCCTCGTGATAAGTCTCCCAGCAGCATCAAACACACCTGGACTCCATATTTGAGGTCTGTACATGTTTAACAAGTACTGTAAACCTATTCTGTTCACAATAATCTCCATGCTGCTCCATATAGTCTTTCCAGCTGTTGAAGTTAGGTATGATGATTTTAGTTTGATTACGTTATACATATAACTTTCTGTTACAGCCGCTGGAGGAGAAAATTGTCACTTTTGTGAAAAAGGAGTTGAAGAACATCAAGAAAGATCTGGATCCAGATTCCCAAAAATGCACCGAGAGTCAGAGGGCGGATGAGGAGATGTTAGACTGGGGGGATGAGGAGGAGAGGAAGAGCAGTAGAGAAGCTGTTCTGAAGATCATGCAGCACTTCCTTAGGAGAATGAACCACAAAGAGCTGGCTGACTGTCTCCAGAGAAGTAAGAGAGTTTCTCTAAATGATTAAATAATTGATAAAAAGGCCTTTTATCAGTCACTCCAGGAAGTTGCAATATTTCAGTTGAGCAGATTTGTGCAAAATCAACCAATCCCTGGCCACAACTAGCACAGAGAAAGCTTGAGACATCCTGGAGGGACTGATTTATTTAGAGGTTTAACCATATCTGTCCAATTATTATTGTGGGGAATTAAGCTCTTTTTTGTTGTGTTCCTTCAGAACATCCTGTTCCGGTTTATCAGCATAAACTAAGAAATAACTTGAAGAAGAAGTTCGATTCTGTTTTTGAGGGGATTGCTAAAGCAGGAAACCGGACCCTTCTGAATCAGATCTACACCGAGCTTTACATCACAGAGGGGGGGGATGGAAAGGTCAATAATGAACATGAGGTCCGACAGATCGAAGCAGCATCCAGGAAACTGATTGGACCAGAAACAACCATCAGATGTGAGAACATCTTCAAAGCCTCACCTGAAAGAGATGAACCAATCAGAACAGTGATGACAAAGGGAGTGGCTGGAATTGGGAAAACCGTCTTAACACAGAAGTTCACTCTGGACTGGGCTGAAGACAAAGCCAATGAGGACATACAGTTCACCTTTCCATTCACTTTCAGAGAGCTGAATATGCTGAAGAAGAAGTTCAGCTTGGTGGAACTTGTTCATCACTTCTTCCCTGAAACCAAAGAGGCAGGAATCTGCAGGTTTGAAAAGTTTAATGTGGTGTTCATCTTTGACGGTCTGGATGAGTGTCGACCTCCTCTGGACTTTCACAACATTGAGATCCTGACTGATGTCACACAGTCTACCTCAGTGGATGTGCTGCTGACCAACCTCATCAGGGGAAACCTGCTTCCCTCTGCTCGCCTCTGGATAACCACACGACCTGCAGCTACCAATCAAATCCCTCCTGAGTATGTTGGCATGGTGACAGAGGTCAGGGGCTTCACTGACCCACAGAAGGAGGAGTATTTCCGGAAAAGATTTGAAAAGAAGGATCAGGCCAACAAAATCATCTCCCACATCAAGACATCCCGAAGCCTCCACATCATGTGCCACATCCCAATCTTTTGCTGGATCACTGCTACAGTTCTGGATGTGTTGAAAACCACAGAAGTTCAAAAGCTGCCCAAGACCTTGACTGAGATGTACATCCACTTCCTGGTGGTTCAGACCAAGCGGAAGAAGAAGAAGTATGATGGAGGAGATGAGACTGATCCACACTGGAGTCCCGATAGCAGGAAGATGATCGAGTCCCTCGGAAAACTGGCTTTTGAGCAGCTGTTGAGAGACAACCTGATCTTCTATGAATCAGACCTGACAGAGTGTGGCATCGATATCAAACAAGCCTCATGGTACTCAGGAGTGTTCACACAGATCTTTATAGAGCAAAGCGGACTGTACCAGGACAAGGTGTACTGCTTCATCCACTTGACCGTTCAAGAGTTTCTGGCTTCTCTCTATGTCCATCTGACTGTCACCAACTCTGGAGTCAATCTGATGTCAGAAGAACAAGAAACTTTCCAAAAGTCTACCACAACAGAAGACCACTCTCCAAAGGCACACCTCTACCAGTGCGCTGTGGACAAGGCTTTAAAGAGTCCAAATGGACACCTGGACCTGTTTCTCCGTTTCCTCCTGGGTCTTTCACTGCAGACAAACCAGACTCTCCTGCGCGGCCTGCTGACACAGACAGAAAGAAGCAATGAGACCAATCAAGAAACAGTCCTGTACATAAAGAAGAAGATCAGTGAGAATCAGTCTGCAGAGAAAAGCATCAATCTGTTCCACTGTCTGAATGAACTGAATGATCGTTCTCTGGTGGAGGAGATCCAACAGGCCCTCAAATCAGGAAGTCTCTCCACAGACAAACTGTCTCCTTCTCAGTGGTCCGCTCTGGTCTTCATCTTACTGTCATCAGAGAAAGACATGAACATGTTTGATCTGAAGAAATACTCTGATTCAGAAGAGGCTCTCTTGAGGCTGCTGCCAGTGGTCAAAGCCTCCAACAAAGCCCTGTAAGTCCAGAGATAGTTGAATTACAGTTTTCTCCCAATTGTGTACGCACACAAAAATGGAACTATGCGAGCAAATCTGAAAACTTGAAGCTCATGTATCAACAACAAGACTCCAAACTGCTAAACTCTAAGCACAGTTCCATCGATCTCACTTAAATATAATTCTAAATCACAGTTTTACAAATCTCAGAACACACATTTAATCAATTAGCACACATTGTTCACCGAGAAACGCTAAATGCAACACCCTGGAAGAACACTTTAATCATGTGTCTGAGTATAACAGAAGCCTCAAGTGCTTATACCCGCTGACTTATAGCAGTGATCTGTTTATTGCAATTTGCATTGTTTTGGTGTTTTATGCCTTTATTTTAGAGATTGGACAGTGGATAGAGTCAGAAACAGGAGAAAGAGAGAAAGGGGTGCGACCATAGACTGTAAATTTTAATGAACGAAGCCTGAGTGAAGTCAGCCATCTGTTACGTCAGGGGGCTCTGGAGGCTCATCGGCTGCAGCCGCCCTGCTGGAAATCCTGCCTCAGCCTGACTTTTAGTCCAGCTAAACAGGCTGAGAGCTGGAGCTGAGGCGAGTTTTATGCCTCTTAACAAACTGTAACATCACACCCACCTGTCATCATGTCACCTATGACACGTGTTGTTCACTAAATCAAAACAGCTGTTTTTAAAAAAGTCACCTTGTACAGTGTCTGACTTAATTAATTTCTCTTCAGGCTGGGCGGCTGTAACCTCTCAGAGAGAAGCTGTGAATCTCTGTCCTCAGTTCTCAGCTGTCAGTCCTCTAATCTCAGAGAGCTCGACCTGAGTAACAACCACCTGCAGGATTCAGGAGTGAAGAAGTTATCTGCCGGACTCAAGAGTCCAAACTGCGTGCTTGAAACTCTAAGGTCAGAATGTCTCAACTTGTTTATCTGATTACTATTTCATTTTACATACAGTATGAAGTAACTCTTAAACATCAACAGTGGGGTGTCAACATTTTGCAAATGATATTAGTTTGCAAAGGGTTCTGTTGTGAGCAGCAGTCTGTTTAGTAAGAGTTTGCTTTAACGCTGGTGGCGTTGATGCGACTGAAATGTTTCAGGTATGAAAAAAGCAGCACAGTATTAATTAATCAGTATGACATACTATTGTAGTTCTGTTGTGAAGTAAATCTCAACGAATCAAGTTAAAATTCTGTGCTGACCAAAAGTTTAATTTGACCCTGATTCGAGCCCTCTTGATGCTCTCAAATAATCTTCCATGTTTGTGGTTTCATTGCAGTCTGTCCGGCTGTCTGATCACAGAGGAAGGCTGTGCTTCTCTGTTATCAGCTCTGACCTCCAACCCCTCTCACCTGAGAGAGCTGGACCTGAGCTACAACAATCCAGGAGATTCAGGAGTGAAGCTGCTGGAGGATTCTCCCTGGAGACCAGAAACTCTCAGGTATTGACTTACCTGCTGCAGCTGCAATCAACCTTTTTGTTGTTTCCTTCCTTGCATGTGCCCATAAAGATTACAATGTAGCTGTTAGTGCTTTTGTGTGAATCCCAGCTGAATCTCTTCAATCATTTAGACCCATAGATATGCAAAACAAGCCAGATACAGAAATGGAGCTGCTGACGGTATTTCAAGTACAGTGCACTCAAGTGCCTGAGGCAAACATTAGCTGGCATATGCTGTTGACAGAAAGCAATCAGCAGTAACTTTCATAAGGTGGAAGTATTAATAAATGAGGATGTGCTGGTCTGATCCAATTCTTTTTTTCAGGGTGGATCCTGCGGGAGTGCGATGGTTGAAACGAGGTCTGCGGAAGTGTAAGCGTGTTCTTTTTATGCCTTTATTGTAGAGAAAGGACAGTGGATAGAGTCAGAAATCAGGGACAAATAGCGAGAGATTGGAAATGATTCATGGAAGCGAAATATCACAGGATGAATTCTCTTTAAACTATGACATCACTCATTCAGATCTCAGATCTTGATGTCATCATCATCATTATCATCATCACACAACTTATTTCTAAAGTTATTATCCCATTTCTCTTCAATAAAAACGAATCAACAATTGTGTACAGTTTTGTGTGAAATTGAAATTATATGATGTCACAGCTTTAATTTAATTAAAGTTGGATGCTTTGCGTCCATGCATCAGTGCAATCATGTACCTCAAAATATTGCGATTGACTTACATTTTGTTAACATAAAATGTAAGCAAGATTGGAGGCTTTAAAACAGTTATCCAAGAACCAGTAGGTTAGGTTTTAAGTTGCCACTTTTTATCTGCGGTCTGTCATCAATCACTGTGTTCTTCTCTCCGTCAGATTCCTGTAAACTGACATTCGATCCAAACACGATGAGCAGAGAGCTCAAACTGTGCGACAACAACAGGAGGCTGATCCACATGCAGGAAGAGCAGTCGTATCCCGATCACCCCGACAGGTTTGACTTCTGTCCTCAGCTGCTGTGCAAGGAGGGTTTGAGCGGTCGCTGTTACTGGGAGGTGGAGTGGAAAGGACAGGTGGACGTGTCTGTGTCTTACAAAGGGATCAGCAGGAGAGGACACAGAAACGACTGTGAGTTTGGATGGAACGACCAGTCCTGGAGTCTGGAGTGCTCCGACAGTGGTTACACAGTGTGGTACAACAACGTCGGAGCATCAATCACCCCGTCCTCCATCTCCTCCGTCTCTGACAGAGTAGGAGTGTACGTGGACTACTCTGCCGGCAGCCTGTCCTTCTACAGCGTCTCCTCCGACTCGCTGAGTCACATCCACACCTTCTACAACACCTTCACTGAGCTGCTCTACCCTGGATTCGGGTTCTGGTCTGACCTGCCAGACTCGTCAGTGTCTCTGTGTCCTCTGCTGGAGGAAGACACACCTGAGGACAAGACTGTCTCCCCACTCCCCTCATAGGTCATACACAGGCTGTAAGCTAACACCATCCGTTCCTTTGTTGTTTCCACAGCCCTTGTCCCCTTTCCTTTTCTACTAAAGACTCCTTTGTTAACAACTGTGAACTGCCTCGTGGTCAGTAGTGAATCTAAATGTGAAAATATTCACAGGAAGAACATGATGAATCTGATGTGTGGAGAAAAGAGGGCATGTGGCATTTATTATTGATCATAGTATTACAGTACAAACCTTTCTGTACTTCAATATCAAGCTGCAATAGAGGGTATTTCAAATGACTGACTTATATAAAAAGTGCACTAATTCTACTTAAAGAGTAACTAAACCCTAAAACCACTTTTTTCAACTATAAACCTCTGTATTTGAGTAGTGTTATGGATCAATTCAAGTCCAAATCTCGACATTTGAGTACAAAGTATTGAAATTCAAAATATTGTGTTAGATATGTGCAGAGTGTTTGCCCTTCCGTTTGAAAAACTCTAACGGCTGTGTGGAGTACAGTATTACGTAGGAGTGAATGCCTACGTCACCAAACCTATAAAAGCCTCGTGACTGATTTCTCCTGCTTATTCTGCTCCGGTCCCCGGCATCATAACGTGCCTCTCGCACACACCTGCCGAACACACACAATCGCCTCGTTCTCTCTCTCTACTCACTTGCTCCCCCCACCCACACACATGCACACTGAGCCATTCACAGACAGACATACCCTGCTCGTATAACAGTGGTTATTTGTCTAAAATTTAAAAGCCGTAAATCCTCCAGGGGGCCTCGTGTACCATTCAGAAACGTCCCCCATCCTCTCCTGCACCTCACTGTCCTCGTCATCAGCTGTCTCTGCTCTCGCTGCCCCTACTAACGGGTCAAAACAATACGGATCTGGAAGTCCGTGGTCGTACTCTATTTGAGAGTCTACAGGAGACTCTGGAGGAGAGAGGTCTTCGACTTCAAATGACATTTCCGTGGCACATGTGCCATTGCTGCTTACGGAGTCGTCGCTCATGGCTAAATAACCTAGCTAAACCTACCGGTACTGTTTTTATTTGTGTGTGTGGGGCAAACATTGTATCATGTTGCGGCTGATAACGGCGCATCAGAAACGTCACGTCTTACTTCGGGAGACCCCCCGCCCCCCCTCCTGTCTGACAGGGATAGTCTCTGCTGTGAGGATCATATGTGAACTGCCAGGTCAGGAGAATATCTGAGCTGTCCTCTGGAAATTATCTAGATATATTTAGGAGTATATATGTGAAAACGGCTTAAGAAAAGTTTGATGCACGGACGTATAATGAAGTGAGAAGTGAAATGAACTCTGAGTCTGTCTCTGTATCATTTTTAAATAAAGTTATATTTCTGTTAATGAAACCTGCTCAGTGTGTTCCTGTGACTTCACAACAAAACATGTTAAGAGTCAGATTAAAATGATAGACCTGTCTGTGTCCCAGCTGTTGATAAAGGGTTAACACATCTGGTTTAAAAGCAAAGTCCTTAAGAAGCTGCAACCTTCGGGGGGTGTAAGAGAAGAAGTTAATGCAGAAGTTACAAAAACTGCTGTTCCTCTAGAGTCCACTAGAGGCAGTCTCACAGTGAATCAGTCCCTGTAGAGCCCCATATTAACTGGTATCCTTTCCAAAAATTAAGTTTTACTCTTTGGAAAGTAGAAGATAAAATGTCCAACTTTACAGCAGTAATAAACTTATTGACAGCCTGGGACAAACATTGTTTTGGTCTCTTTAGCTAATTTCTCTCTTCATTAAAACTTTACTAGCAGAGTTTTTATCAACTCAACTGTTTATATTAAGACTTAAAATGATGTCGAATTAGGGGCACGGCCTTTTTGATTGACAAGTGGGAGCTCAAATGTTGTCTCAACTGTTATGTGTCAGGTTTTTGTCATGTTATCCTCGCAAATCTGAGCATCTGTTTTCATTTCAAAGCTTCCACATTAATCAGAAACTATACAGACAATTAAAACTGAAAATCCAGAGAGAACAAAAAAGTGAGCTACCATAAGAACACAGCTAGCATTTAGCCTCTTCCTCGTTAACATTTACATTTGAGAATCAGGGATACAATGTGATAGTCATCAACTAAATCTAGATATAAACGCTCATCATTAAGTTATTTATATAAACTAAGGTAAAAAAATGTGTGGATCTATTTCAAGCTAACAACGTAACATAAAGAGTGCAGATCTCCATTTAATCTCCACTGTTGGAGTACCAGCACAGAAGCTAGGCTATACATGGCTGAATGCACAGGGCCGTTTGTACCACGCCATTGAACTAACTTTAAGAGAAACCGACCCGAAGTCCAAGGATAAATCAGGATAAGTGACTTAACTGTCAGAAGGCCACTTTGTTAAAGCACCACTTCCTCCAGCTGTGATAATCAAACTAACCCTTTAAGTCATCATGAATAAGAATGTCAAGCAGAAGCTGAGCAGACTGTTTAAAGATTTTATAGAGACAAAATAATGTGACTACAAACTGTGGTCAGCTCCCCTAGTGGTCAAAGCAAGTCAATACAACCTTTGTTATTACATAGTACACTTGTGATCTTTTTAGAGTTTACAGCCACCAAAATAAAGTGGAGCTGACAGGATGCAATTATTTTTTGTGTCAGGAGAGGGCGCCAAGCAGCACGACCTGTTAAAGGAGATCTCAGCTGAAACAGGCTTCACTAATTATCAGGAATGAGGCTCAAAATGTGCAGTCTGCAATGACAGTAGGAACACCTCTCTAAGGGGGCCCTATCTGACAGCACTCATTCTTGTTGCGCTGCTCTTGTTGCCGTCTCGTGCATTATTCATGTGAAAACCAAAGATTGTCAATGAAAGTCAGGAAAACGAAGAGGAATTATCAATCAGAGAATGAAAAAGAAAGATAATAAAAGAAAAGACAGTGATAAATGCAGCAGAAGATGACATCAGATGATGATAAACACTGGTGTCATAATGTGGATTTAGGCTTCCCTGAGAAAACTATTTAGTTTGAAAATATGTACAAGTTACCGCCCGATTCGAGGACTACTGCCTCTGTACATGGGGCTCGCGCCCTCACCACTGTTCCACTGGCGCCACTTTTCAGAGATAATTTGATTTTATGTTTTTATTGTTCTGAATATTTGTATTTAGAAATTTTAAAGGTTTTTTAATTTTGATCTTTGAAAAAGGAAAAAGACAATCTAAACCCAGAAAGCACTTCAAACAAAAAAACAGAGAACAGTAGAAACTGACATTAGTCTTCCTCAGGATGTCGCTCCTTGTTCTTCATGAAAGGTGACCAGGTTAAAATGATCTCTGAGGCCGGCCAATCACAGGACAAATGTACGATGTACGTGACTTTCTGTAAAAGATTTTTTTTTAAAAGCCACAGTATGAACTTGTGGTTTCAGATCAACAGTTTCAGTCTAGGATTAAAAGGTCAGAATATTCTCAACCAAACATCCTGTTTTTAAGATCAGCAGGTTGAGTATATGCCACACACACACACACACACACACACACACACACACACACACACACACACACACACACACACACACACACACACACACACACACACTTCCTCTTTTTGATTTGATTATGGAAGTTGTGCTGCTCAGTGTCTGGCTGACTTCCTCAATAATCTTTTTTCTTTCACTCATATCATGACACAGCTCTGGTTTATATTTTAATAAACATTCTCTTGTTTTCTATTTGTAAAAAGGGATATGATTTATGATTTCCCGGGGCATTTGACCTCAACTGCACATCAAAGATCCAGAGGTGGGCACAGTTGATCAAAAGTGTATCGTCAGTCACATTCACCATCAAACTGTCAAAAGAGACGTTAACTTTGACGGCAGTTAATCAGTTAATTATTTTACAATTATTTCATTATTACACACTCAAAAATGACTACAGTAATACACATACAGTAAATGTAGAAATATACTGTAAGATAAGATTAAAAAAAATGAAGAAAAGCATAAATATTCAAAATGTAGAAAATGTAAACAGTGTAATGAGTAAAGTGTCAGCACGTAAAGTCTCCAGAGGATAAGATATAGGGAAAGGAGTTAGAATGTGTGGTGGAGCTCAAAGAAGAGCCAGAGCTGAAATAAGAGCCACTATCATAGACCATGTCATAAACCACAGGTTATCATACAGAATGGCTGGTGAACGAGTACAGCCAAATCTCAACCGGGACACAGTGGCATCCATTGTCTGGGTTTTTCAAGAAACCAACAGGTAGGATATTGTGTAATGGCTTATCCTACTGCAAAGTGTAAATAATTGTTACCATGTATAACAGTTACTGTAAGCCTCAGGTTTCTAATATGTAACTGTATTTTGTCTCTCTAAGGACTCAATGTCTACCTCCATGAGGTGGCAGAGGAAAGCATCTACTGTACTGGACAGTAAATGACGAACAGGAACTTGCCATTATCAAAAATGGTGATTGCTGACAATGAAATACAACCTTTACTGCATCAATTCTGTCTCTGTCTTCTTTTCATAAACCATACATTCTATAAAGCTACTCTGATATGGGTCAATCCTTTTTTGTTTTGAATTCCTGCAGCCAAAGAAACAAAATACATGCATTTACTTGTGCCAACAAAACAGAAATGCAGAGGCAAAAGAAAATGCAAAAACGAAATGAAAAATTGTTAAAAGTATTGTCATAGCAATAAAAAAATAACTGTAATAGGTGGTTGTGGTTACAGACATACATGATTGGAGTTTTTGACATTACATAAAAAAATTAATCAAAGAGACTATAACGGGCAGTGTATGGACCCAATTGAAGCACAACAGGAAACTGGCAGATTTAGTGACACACTTTCATTTTTAGCAGCAGGTGATACAATGGCAAACAAGTAATCCCGGTCCAAACTGAACAATGTCTCTGTTAGCCGGCTGGGGAACGTAGCCGCTGATGGCACGGGAAAACTGACCAGAGCTGATCGTGCTGAACAAACACGATACAGTCAATATTAGAATATTATTATGTTTGAGCTTTTTTGCCAGTAGAAATGGTACACATGTTTTTTTAATTTAAACAGACTGTCATTTGTTCCTCATGTGCTGGTGTTTGTTATCAGGTCACACACAGAGACTAACGCTGTCACAGGTTGTCATAATTAATACAGAGAGCGAACACAAGCAGCTGTTAAAGCCTGAGTGGTGATCAGCTGATGTCATGGCCACAAACGGGCGACGGGCGACAAAGGACGTCTCATGTCTCTTCACACATTTCCTTGTTCCCTCTCTCCTTCGCTTCGTTTCCTTGCATCTCTGGTGGGACAGACAAAGAAACAGGGAAGGAGGCAAGTGAAGGATCCATGGATGAAATTTGAGGGATCTGAGACGTAGCCATAGGCTGTTAACTGTAGAGTGCTTTGTGATTCCTGATTGAGCCACTAGATGGAGCCAAAGTGAAACAGTTTCTAAACATACAAACGGAAGCTTTGATTTGTTGCTATAGCGACTCATCAAAGTAACATTATTTGCTGGTTTAAACTGATTGAAACACGACAAATGTTCAGGATTCAATTATGAAATAAATCAAATATTTATTTCATATATAGCTTTTAGTTTCTATGACACAATACATTTTTGAATAAATATTTGTATACAGGTTTATGTACAGTCAACTTTGAATCATTTTAATGAATATATAGAGAGCGGTTTGTTTTTGTTCTCGAGTGATAGGCACAAATATTGTAATTTCTCTTTAATTATTTAATAATTTGATTAACTGATTAATTCAGTCAAAGAAAAGTGATAAAAACAGCTTTTCACAATGTTAAAACAAGAAAACACTGATTACACTGATGTGTTTGTTGATTCATTTCTTCTTTTTAAACTCACTATTAGTCATTAAAAAGTCCATTAAGCTCCTCAAATCTCAGACTACAGAAATTACTGGGTCGAAGGAGAATACAAAAATTTTAATCACAGAGCCCAATTTTTTTTCATTTTCTCTTTTCAGCATATTTTTGTCTTCTAAATGGCTTTAACAGATTTTGGAATTGCTCCTTTTTCAGTCTATAACTGAGGCCTGTTTATGTCAATGGAGTCTGGTGTCATTAAAAAAAAAACAGGAACTTATAGAAGGCGCACTGTGATTGATATATCATCCATTGGGTTTGTGTTGCAGCCATTACAGCCTAATTCCTGATGGCAACTTAAAAAATATGGTGCATCACTTCCAAAACTTTTTTGTATTCATACGCTATTTACACATAAGAACACAAATAGAAAATTGGGCCTGTGCTGTAAAAAAACCCATCTGGACTGACTTTAAAAGGATGGGCAGGTGAAATACTAAATTACTTAAAGTACTGTTTGTTAAAAATCTCTTAGAAATGACCAA